TTGTTCGCTGTCAGTTACTCTACTTGTAATAGGGTTTGTAAGCAGTCTGGTCTGGATCCATGCTGGTCGCAAACGCACTATGTTGGTTTTGTCATGACGCGGCTCATATATGATCTATATTAGTTTGTAAGAATTTGTTTGATAACCAAGCATGAATAAATTTGTGATAGCTAACTAAAATTAAGGGCCGTAACTCTGTAGTACTCAAACATGAATGTATATACCAATGATAGGCACAAGTGGTAACAATGATATTGTCAATAGTTCTTGATTATGGATATGCTTCAATTTCTTGATACAAGATTTTGAGTATTATCATCATTAAGTAAAATGAAAATTTGGCAAATAACAGACATTAAACAATGTAATGTTTTCTGAAATTTGAAGAATGACATTCAAAAAAACAAGAGCCCGGTTTGAGCCGGGTGATGCTCCCCGAATAGGTTTTGGACACAGGAAAGTACACCTCTTGTAGTTTCAGAGTTATGTCCGTGGAAAAAGTTCAATGTGCAATAATTCCAAAATTAGGCAAGGCAGAGTTACAGTTCTTTGCACTGCACTTGTAATCAATGTGATCTATCAACCTACAAAGTTTCTTGATGATATCTCTTATGATTTCCGAGTTATGTCCTGGACAATTCAAAAAGTAAAAATAAACAAAGGGCAATAACTCCAGAATTAGGCAAGGTAGAGTTATGATTCTTGTGCACTGCACATCTACCCATTGAGATTTATCTACCTACAAAGTTTCATGTTGATATCTCTTATAGTTTTACAGCTATGTCCTGGACAAGATTTTTCTAAAAGGGGAGATTATTCAAAAATAAGGCTTAACAGAGTTATGGTTCTTTGACACTGCACCTCTACTCAATGAGATCTATCTACCTACAATGTTTCATGTTGATATCTCTTATAGTTTTAGAGTTATGCCCCGGACAAGATTTTTCTATAAGGGGAGATAATTCAAAAACCAGGCAAAATAGAGTTATGGTTCTTTGACACTGCACTCCCCCTCGATGCCCTCTACCACTGTATGAAGTTTCAACAAATTATCTCCAAGGGTTTTCAAGTTATGCTCCGGACAAGACAACGGACGGACAGACGGACGGACGGACAGACGGACAGACGGACAAGGCGCCGACTATATGCTCCCCCGAAATTTTTCGGGGAGCATAAAAAAAGAGAATATTTCCACCTACACATGTAGCTGGTCACATGAGAAGAAATTGATAATGAGTTAATTACTGGTTAGTTATTCTGGAAAGCCAGTTAGATGAATCACCCGCAGGCATATGGCCAAAAATGTGTTAAATTGGTGTAAAAATATCCAGAAAAACAAGCAAACATGAATATAGAAATTTGTCAGAAGAAGTTACTGCATGAAAATTGAATAGGATATCTTTTTCGTACTATCTTCAATTCAAAGAAATATTTAAACGCAAAAAATGAGATATGTCAATTTAGTCCAAGTTTTCAACGTTTCAACAAGCAAACCTTGCTGACAAACACATGGCCATATATTTATTGTTTAACAAAACCAGGCTGGTTGACAAATGAACAATGCATTCACCATATATTTCTGGAACAAAACCAGGCAAATAGCCACACATAACAGTGAAAGAACCATATATATCTAGACACAAAAACCAGGCTGATACACATGTGAAAACCACAAAAAGCATGTATTTTTTGTTAAACAAAACCGGACTCATTGACCAACCTTATGGACATTGTAAAAACCATATATTAATTATTTATCAAAACCATGCCTGTAGACAATGAACAGTGGTTCTAACGGTACTAATACCCTATATTCAAGTTTAAACAAAAATTCAACAACACATTATTATAAACCATGAAGCAGAATATAATTCATAATTCACATCTCCGTACATACAGCCCTATCCTATTTATAACATTCTGCACAGCAGACCATTTTTCCATTTTGTAACATATTTTCCTAAACATTAGGCAACCATTAAAGAAATGTTTGTTTGCCATTTCAAACTTATATTTTTTGGATTTAGGTTGGTAGGTAAATTTTTCTTCTCTTTTTTCTGTCAGACATTATGTATAATATGAAAGCCAGTACTCAAATATAATCTAAAATATCACTATCTTAATGCTGGAAAATACATACACAAATACAATTTTGATTTTACTACTGAATTTCAATTTGAATGTCTATTTTTAATGGTATTACTAATACAAACAAAAGTTTTACTTTTAAAGTTCTTTTTTTAAATTATCTTCGCATAGAAACAAAACAAGAATTCACAAACAAAGCCCATTTTTGGGCAAGTTGGTCCGAAACGGCAAACAAACAGTATTCTATTTCAGACCTTAACAGAGATAAACAAAATTTCCTCTCACTCTTCGACCATGAGGAATGTTCATTTCATTAAATAAGATCACATTATTGTACTGGTGTATGTAATTATGTTGTAGAGAGACACTGCAGGCCGTCAGATATAGTTCTCTCACTCTCACTTGTCTCCGACTGCTGCATTAAAGCCTGCTGAATATCTAAAGGTAAATCACAACGGCCTTCCCAGTGAGCTTTGTGGAATGTGTGTGTCTGAAATAAATCAGCAAGTGATTTTATGGAAGTTATGAGCAAGTGATTTTGTAAAAATTTTGAGCCCATGATTTTGTAAATGTTTTAACAATTTGTTGATAGTCAATACTATCTCCATTTTTAACCAGTCAAAATTACAATGAAGCATTTACTACCAAATGTTAATGATTTAAATTATCAACATTAGTATAGATAAGTCACAATTTAAGATGTTTACCTCCCTTGCCAAAAGTGGCAACCATTTTGAGGGTCAATATTTTATATATGATAGGCAAAATATGAAAAGTCAAAATACAGCTGATTAAGTTGAACGCTCATTCTCAATAAAACACAGCATTTGATGTTCCACTGGGTAGCTCTTATACGAAGGTTTTTCTTGAGGTCAAATTGTCGTTAGAAAGGTGGCTGCCACTTTGTCTAATAGGGACACTCTCAGTTTCACATTTCTATCTGTTATTTTTCTTTTACAAGTACCATTAATGCCCTAAAATGTAACATACGTTACTGTCGCCACCTAGAATTTTCAACTTTGAAATTGTGTTTCAGAAAAATAAGTTCCAGAATAAACGAAACATGTGCAATTAGTCATTGCTGTGTGTATATGCACTTTGATTATTGGTAAAAATTATATTTGAATGTTAAAATCTCATTGGTATAATGGATGATCAAATGTCGCCAAATGCATATAAATAAATAGTGACAAACCTAAAACAATAAGAAGTGAAACCGAAATTACATAATTGAATCTATGCATGCTTAACTAGAACTATCACTAAATGTGATTAATACCCCCACAAGTCTGCTTCGGAAATGAGGATGTTACTAGTAACAGAATACCTTGTAAAAGAATTGAAACATAGAGTTATGGTTGTGGGCAATTAAAGATAATTGTGGTTCATGTATGTTGCATTTCCTTTCAATGTGGTTGGCCATTGAATTACTCTGTAATAAGTCCAGAAAGACAAAGAAAAAGAACAAAGGGCAATAACTCTATAAATACTGAAGATAGAGTTATAGTTCTTGTGCACTGCACTCCCTCTTATTGTGCTTGACCATTGTATGAAGTTGTTTTGAATTCCAACCAGTATGTTTTAAGTTATGCTTTGGACAAGGAAAAGTATCAAAGGGCAGTAACTCTGTATTGTGTCAAAATGGAGTTATGGCTCTTGTGCACTGCACTTCCTTTGAATGTCCTTGACAACTGTATGAAGTTGTACTGAATTCCAAACAGTAGTTTTCAAGTTATGCTCTGGACAAGGAAAAGAAACAAAGGGCAGTAACTCTGTAATTAGTCAAGATGGAGTTATGGTTCTTGTGCACTGCACTTCCCCTTATTGTGCTTGACCATTTTATGAAGTTGTTTTGAATTCCAACCAGTAGTTTTCAAGTCATGCTCTGGACAAGGAAAAGTAACAAAGGGCAGTAACTCTGTAATGAGTCAAGATGGAGTTATGGTTCTTATGCACTGCACTTCCTCTCAATGTGCTTGACCATTGTATGAAAATATAATGAATTCCAACAATAAGTCTTCAAGTTATGGTCCGGACAAAAGAAAGCAATGGAAAAGTAACAAAGGGCAATAACTCTGTAATTAGTCAAGATGGAGTTATGGTTCTTGTGCACTGCACTTCCCCTTATTGTGCTTGACCATTGTATGAAGTTGTTTTGAATTCCAGCCAGTAGTTTTAAGGTCATGCTCTGGACAAGGAAAAGAAACAAAGGGCAGTAACTCTGTAATAAGTCAAAATGGAGTTATGGTTCTTGTGCACTGCACTTCCTCTCAATGTGCTGGACCATTGTATGAAGTTATAATGAATTCCAACAATTAGTCTTCAAGTTATGGTCCGGACAAAAGAAAGCAATGGAAAAGTAATAAAGGGCAATAACTCTGTAATTACTTTAGATAGAGTTATGGTTCTTATGCACTGCACTTCCTCTCAATGCGCTTGACCATTGTATGTAGTTATATTGAATTCCAACCATTAGTCTTCAAGTTATGCTCCGGACAAAAAAAGAAGGCAATTGAAAAGCAACAAAGGGCAATAACTCTGTAATTACTTTAGATAGAGTTATGGTTCTTGTGCACTGCACTTCCCCTTATTGTGTTTGACAATTGTATGAAGTTGTTTTGAATTCCAACCTGTAGTTTTCAAGTTATGCCCCGGACAAGGAAAAGTAACAAAGGGCAATAACTCTGTAATAAGTCAAGATAGAGTTATGGTTCTTGTGCACTGCACTTCCTCTCAATGTGCTTGACCATTGTATGTAGTTATATTGAATTCCAACCATCAGTTTTCAAGTTATGCTCCGGACAAGGAAAATGCAACGGACGTCTGGACCGACCGACCGACTGACCGACCGCCCGACCGACCGCCCAACCGACCATCCGACCACCGGGTGACTCCTATATACCCCCCCAAACTATACCCCCCCTAACTTCGTTTTTGGGGGTATAATAATACAGCATATATATAATTATAAGTAAAAATAAGCTTGCAGCCTCTCAAATATCATTCTATTTTCGGAAATTTTCATTTTTTATTCAAATCTTTTCAACAGCACTTTAAAAAGAAACATACGTTACCATTATTTAAGAGCCAATCCATTCAAAGAAGAATCCAAACAAGAAAGAAAATTAACATGTGTGTAACTCTGATATATTAACGACAAATTATGGCAGCTTAAACGGTCTTGCGTCATTTTTAACCCACTTTCAATGTAAAAATGAAACATACGTTACAGAAACATACGTTATCAACTTTTTAAAGTAAGTTTATCAAAAGGGAAATTGAAGTCAGAAAGCACGTATACAATCAACATTAAGTTCTATTTGACATTAGTAAGTAAATTTTTGTTAACTTTGGTCGTGTTTTTACTTGTTTAAGTAACCACAGTGAAACAAACGTTACTTTTATCAAACAGACTTTATATTGTTTACAGATGCATCTATCAAAACATAAAATCGCATTTTTATGACAAAAGAATGATGTGCATTTGATTCCTAAATAAAAAAGTCGATTTTACATGTAAGTTTAAATTCCGTGATGAAGTTCATAAATAAACAAGTGTGAAACATACGTTACTCCAACTTACAATTCAACATCCAGTTTCCACCATTTAAATTGTAATTTGCCAACCTTCCGACCACATTTTAATCAAAATGTCAGTCAGGTCAGTCATGTTAAAATTGTTTGGTTACCTTGGCAATATTCCTCCTCCACATTTGATCACATTGACCGGAACAAACAACACAAGGTCGCTGCAGACTGTATCCGCCACATTCCGGGCAATGTTTAGAAAACCGGTTCTCAAACCAACATTGTTTACATCTATTAAAATTAAAACACATCTCTTATAGAAATTATAATAGGACAACTATTCTAAAGAAATCAGAAAAGAAACAAACTTCAGCAATTTAAGTATCAGACTGCCATTATGTCTTTTTTTTAGTTGACTTTTTATTGACAACTATGACATCTTAAAGTTAACACCATTCAGACGCAGATTTTACTCTGATATAATAGACAGTCTTTTTATATGAATTGTTAAGTCAGCAACTTTTAACACAGGACCATTTATACATGCAAAGATTGATAAATCAAGCTTACTGTCTGCTTGAAAAATGCAAAATAATTTGTCCAAGGGTGAGAAAAATGTGCAACCAGACTTATTTTCAAACCCAAGAAGCTTGGAATAAATTTAGCATTGCTCCCAATAAATTTAGCATTGCTTCCAACTAAGCTACCTGGCAAATTACAATTTTTTTCTTCAATCAGTAAATATTTCTGTGACAAATTACATGTATATTACTATCTTACAATTGTGCATGAGGAATTGAAATAGAGGATATTGAATGAGTGTAGATTTAATAAAAAATTTATTAAGACTGGAATAAAATTATACTATGTGAGCCTCTGGCGAGCTCTATATTGTTTTATTCAATGAGTTCAATAAATTTAGTTGTAAATCTACAAGAATATAATATTCTATTTATCACAGAATGGTTTATAGTTAAAAAGAGTCTTCTTTTGTTGGCGGCCTAAAATGTAATGCTAACATAAGCAGGCTTTCACACTATCTTTATATATTATTCAAATGATGTCACATCAAAGTGTAATATCGTTTTTATTAAATTGGTTGATTACACTTTGTGATATTGACAATGCTAGCTTTACTTGTTAAATGCTAACTTTACTTGATGTTGACGACGTCACTTGGAGATGACATCATCTTTGTCTTATCTGTGATGGGATAAGTTGAATAAACTTTATAATTATAAATTAGAGTTAATTTGTAGAAGACATAACACACTCATGCACCGTGATTTATGTGATCATAAAGATTATCTCTCAATATTTAAGAAATAATATATCCCAAACAGTGATTTTATCGCTCAATAACTTCACTGTTTGGAGTTCGGATGCGACGAATTATATCACAAGGGCGTAGCCCGAGTGATATAATGATGCGCATCCGAACGATAAACAGTGATGTTATCAAACGATAAAATCACTGATTTGGATATATTATTTCGATTCTAACACGACATTAACAAATCAATGTTGCAGTACTTGATAGTTAAGCAAAATTGCGCCTGATTTGTTTCCGAATTTATTTTCAGTGTGTCGGATTTTTAGTGGTTACGTCACGTGTATAATGATTACGTCACATGTCTAAATATAGAACGTCAAACTGTGCATCTGTTGCATAATAACACACACTTTCTGTTCTTCTATGTTCAATAGGGAAAAATGCGGGTCGTGTTAGAATAAATGATAAATTCACGAAAAAAATACAAAAATAGCAAATCTGTTTCCTGCATCCCATTGCCACTTTTCTTACTCATTAATATGGCCCTGAATATATTCTGACATTAAGTTGATTTCCATTAACAAAGTATAAATGTTAGTGTTACAGTATAAGTGTATCAATGGATAGAATGATCATATTTTACTGTAAACTTTTCTATTTTACAGTATGTGATAAATAGATTATTACATGCACATTCTTGTAGCTTCATAACATAATTTACTGAACTAATGTCAGTCTTGATTGAATTAAAGTTGTTCATTAAACTCATTATGCAATGTACACTTATTTAAGTTATAATCTATTAATAATTATCCCTATATAATACATACAAATGACATGTAGATATTTTTTTCTGATATGGTTCACTTTTTTTCATCTCCTCAATTTCCTCTTTAGATATGTCTACACCTTGTTGTTCCTTCTCTGTTGGAGATATTGGCACACGGTAATACACGGTCGCTCGTGGACCATTCAATACTTCATCTGAAAAATTACAACCAAAAATATGCATTATAAAGTGTATAAAGCTATATTATATATCTGTTGCAAAAAATCATTATTTGAATTTTGATATAGAATACTTCCAAAATACATGTATGAAAGAAAAATGTTTGTATATTAAAAATTTTTCTTTACAGCGAATGTTGCATACAAAAATCATTGCTAAACAGTAAAAAACATACTATAAAATACCAGTAGCAGCATATTACATGTTCTTTGTTCTGGAACATTTCATTCTGTTCAATATTCATATGTATTAATTCATAGAGACATTCTGTGCTACAAATTTTCGAGAAACAAAACATAACATTATGGAAACAACATAATTTTACTGTTTAAAAACATAATTTTTTTCCATTATTTAGATGACAACATAGAAGTTGTTCCATCTTTTCCTTGAAAATAAGATGAGCTAAAAATGGTAAAATATATAGTCACCATCTCCCTCAGCAGCAAGATTGGTTTCCATGGTATCATCTTCCGGACTGTCACAGTCAGCAAAACCTTCATCATCTTTATCTATGACAGGGCTATCATCCATCTTGTCCTGTAATATTCCAGTAAAACATAAATGAGCCGCGTCACGACAAAACCAACATAATGGGTTTGCGACCAGCATGGATCCAGACCAGCCTGCGCATCCGCGCAGTCTGATCAGGATCCATGCAGTTCGCTATCAGTTTTGCTACTTGTAATAGGGTTGGTAAGGGAACAGCATGGATCCTGATCAAACTGCGCAGATGCCCAGTCTGGTCTGGATCCATACTGGTCGCAAACCCACTATGTTGGTTTTGTCATGGCGCGGCTCAAATTTACTACTTCAGACTACAATAAGCCCATCTTATCAACATGTTATACAGGAATTCCTATTGGCACATATGGCATATCAGTGCACTTGCACTTCAATTTCAAGTTCGCAAATATTTCCATCATAAAAATGTGGCACTTTGGCCATTATCCTTAAAAAAAATATAATGCTTAGTCAAAGTAATTCTGGGGAAATCCCTTAACATACAATAATGCAAATACATAATAGAAAATTTATGTCAAAATATTTGTTCATTAAAATCTATTTTTATAAAAGATTTTTGATCGATTTAGGTTTTATTTGCTTTCGTGAATCCTGAAACAGATGGCCATTTGGTTTATATATATACATGTAACTATGAAATGTGAAATGACATGTAAACAAACATGTATGATACATAGAAGTTTCAATACCAAGGACACCAAAATGTTCTAAAAGAACTTTTCAGATAATATTATAATACCATTTTCAATAATGCACATAGAAAGGGCAGAGATTTTTTCCAGGATTTTGGGACCATGACCCATACTAATGGCATTGGGAATTTTTGTGTTGTTTTGTTAAAAATTGGGGGAAAATGCATGACAGAAATATTGCAGTGATTAATGAATTCTAGGATGGCATCTTCAAACATTCAAGCACTATTACAGTGAAAATGCCCTTAAATTTAAAGATGTTAGAATTCTTTATTCAATATTTTTACTTTGTAATTTTCAATTTGGAATATTTTCCTGTGGATTGGGAAAATAATGTACTTTTTTCAATTGGGAATATGACCCAATAACGGCTAAAAAATAAGCCAAAAAAATCTCTGTAGGGGTGAAGAGATCCTAGTATACATAACTGGAGACTTTTTTTTAGGCAGACAAGTATATTTTGTCAGTAGACAAGTGAGTTTGTGAGCCCCCAAGAAACAACTGTTACAACAGAATACTGTACATTTGTATTTCTGTCCCTTAACAATCTGGCACATTTCATCTTATCTTAAAGTTTTGTTTTAAATAAACAACAAACTTAAACTAACCAATTATTTTACCACATGGGAAGCCTCTCCCTAGAATCACCTGTTATTGGAAAGCAAGCTCCTTGCTTGGTAAAATTAAAGCAATTGTTCATTGTTAGAGTAAATACATGTTTTATCGTGCACATTCAGTTGCTATTGTAAAGTTTACAAAGTATCTGGGACTCCCAACTTTTTCAGGCTTGGGAGTCCCAGGAATTTTGTTTTGAAAATCCATTAACTCTGCTTTGTGTTAATAGACTATTCAACAAGTTTTCGTTTGGTATAAAACTTGTAACTGACCCTTTTTCCATCTTTAAAAAACTGCCAACTATTTCTTCAAAATGAACAAGTGAATTTCAGGCCCCAACTTATAGGTGCAAAAATATTTCAGAAACCTAGTCAAACTAATTACGAATGTCAAAGAGACATGAAGTATTTTTTCTTTCAACTAGGGGTGTCATCGATAAGGATTTTTGTATCGATGTATCGGTAATGAATTATCGGTGATACAGTGATATATCTATTGCAAGGCAAAATTAAGCTTTTAAGTCTTCTTTAATTTGTTTTAATATGCAGTTATATTTAAACACATGCAAAAAATAAATAAACTACGAAAAGTGAACAATCTGTTTCTTTTTTATCATTCTAACTTTTAATGACAACTAATGACTAGTAACTATAAAGTTTAAAGCCTTTTCCATTTTACTTTTGTTGTTGTTGCTATTACGTAGTTACAGATTATGCTAAATCCCGTCCTTGCCGTTCTAAGCAATGGTTTAATTGGAAAATTATTGTGTTTAGAACCGGAATAATTATTAACGTTTAACATACGTAATCATAATTTTTACAAAGAAAAACTAACAAAAATTTTCTTGGCATTTTCCGTTTTAAAAATCTGAATTTGGGGGTCTTAGCAGACATGCGAGATTACAACGAAATTCGGCAGCATTCGTTAGAGACACTGGGAGGTAACTCTGGTGTTTATTTCCATTTTAGTTTTAGAAAAAAATATTTGAAATATGTTAATTCTGGCTTCCATAACTTTATATGTCTCTTTTATTTTGATGTTTAGTCTATCAGTACTATAAAACCTGTTTGCTGAAGTCTCTTTAGTTAGAAATATATGTGCATTCGATATCCGATATTTAAACAAGAACTGTCGGAGGACAGTAACGCTCGACTATTCGAAAATTTGTCACAAGGGTGTTTCATTGAGTATAATAATGCTTACCTCTATGAATACATAAAATTGTCCAAAAAGGGACAAACCCTTCAAGTTTTAATACATTCCCTTCAGTAGTTATGGAGATGCAAGCTTACACGCAAAAACTTAACCAAGAATTTCTAAGTCAAAAAGGGGCATAATTATGTAAAAAAGCAAATCAGAGTTATGGGACTTGTGCCAATCATCTTAGATAATCACAGAGAACAAGTGTGTGAAGTTTCAATCCATTCCCTTCAGTAGTTATGTAGATACCAGCTTACATGCAAAAACTAAACCAAGAATTTCTAAGTCAAAAAAGGGGCATAATTATGTTAAAAAGCAAATCATAGTTATGGGACTTGTGCCAATCATCTTAGATAATCACAGAGAACAAGTGTGTGAAGTTTCAATCCATTCCCTTCAGTAGTTATGGAGATACCAGCTTACATACAAAAACTTAACCAAGAATTTCTAAGTCGAAAAAGGGGCATAATTATGTAAAAAAGCAAATCAGAGTTAAGGGACTTGTGCCAATCATCTAAGATAATCACAGAGAACAAGTGTGTGAAATTTCAATCCATTCCCTTCAGTAGTTATTGAGATACCAGCTTACATACAAAAACTTAACCAAGATTTTCTAAGTCGAAAAAGGGGCATAATTATGTAAAAAAGCAAATACGAGTTATGGGACTTGTGCCAATCATCTAAGATAATCACAGAGAACAAGTCTGTGAAGTTTCAATCCATTCCCTTCAGTAGTTATGGAGATACCAGCTTACACACAAAAACTTAACCAAGAATTTCTAAGTCGAAAAAGGGGCATAATTATGTTAAAAAGCAAATCATAGTTATGGGACTTGTGCCAATCATCTTAGATAATCACAGAGAACAAGTCTGTGAAGTTTCAATCCATTCCCTTCAGTAGTTATGGAGATACCAGCTTACATACAAAAACTTAACCAAGAATTTCTAAGTCGAAAAAGGGGCAAAATTATGTAAAAAAGCAAATCAGAGTTATGGGACTTGTGCCAATCATCTTAGATAATCACAGAGAACAAGTGTGTGAAATTTCAATCCATTCCCTTCAGTAGTTATTAAGATACCAGCTTACAAACAAAAACTTAACCAAGAATTTCTAAGTTGAAAAAGGGGCATAATTATGTAAAAAAGCAAATCAGAGTTATGGGACTTGTGCCAATCATCTTAGATAATCACAGAGAACAAGTGTGTGAAGTTTCAATCCATTCCCTTCAGTAGTTATGGAGATACCAGCTTACATACAAAAACTTAACCACAGGGACGCCGACGCCGACAAATGGGTGACTGCATTAGCTCGATTATTCTGCGAATAGTCGAGCTAAAAATGGAATCAATATCGAATCGGATTACAAAGATCGTTGATACACCGATATCGATTGAATCGATTACACTCCTACTTTCAACTGAAGTGAAATTCATGCTGAAAATCTGATAAATTTTAAATGGTCTTTCAGGGAATGTATAAAAGATATTTATTTTATATTTTCCCCTTAATTGCCGAAGATATTTTCAAAGAATCAAATTATTTTTACAAAGGTGTGGTACATCTTTTTTATTCTGTTCGCTTGAAATACCACTAAATCAGTTGAATGCAATTTTAGACTTGTAGAGATTAAATGGACCTGTGACAATTAGTGACTAAGAAAAAAAAGTTTTGAAATGTATGTAAAGAGAAAGATACATGTACATGTAATAAACTGAGTTAGAGAATGGTGTGTAATAAAAGTATGGTGCATTAAAAAAAGAATAAGTCCTTTAATCTTACTCTGTAGATTTATCATACATGCCATAACGTCCCGGATGCCCGGGACAGTCCCGGAAATAAGGTGTCTGTCCCGGAGATGATTTATGTCCCGGTAAAAAAAAATCTAAAATAATCTACTTTGAAGCAAGAAATTTTACATTTTTAAATAATTTTATTGTCAAGTTTTTTATAAACTAGTCTAGAACGCTAATAACGAACGATTATCCCCTAACAGCATTGCAATGGTGACACTAATCCTTTGATTGGTATATCTACGTGCCCATTCCAACAAACAATTATCGGCAATAATTTTGATCAATTAAAAGATTAAATGTTTACCCCATGTGGCTTCCTGAGCGAAGGTGTCATACACTGTAATTAACAACTGGCCAGAATAAATTTAATCCCCCATGAAGGCAGTTATTAGTGGTCAAACACAGTGAAAATTACGGCTAAATTTGAGGTGATAAAATCTACAAGATTCCGCAAATGTTTCAGGTAAACAACATGGCTAATTGTCATTATTTAACATAGCTTTATTCTATTCTGTGACTAATTGAATTAACGATGCCTAAATACTTAAAAAAGATAGAAAAACTGCTAATAATTATTGACATTCTGTCTTTTGTTTATGGTGTCATTAAATTTGCAAGTTGTAAATACCGGTAATATAGGTTGTATGCCACTATGTAAATTTTAAAAAAATACGTTTGCTGATCAATGCCCCACCTCCAAATGAAAAGTGTCCCGGAAATGAGTGTAAAAATTATGGCATGTATGAGATTTATGATATATTTAAAATTACCCCCACATTCTGAAAAGTGGGGGTAATTACCCCCAGTGTTATAAAATTATTTGGAACTCTGTACACATATCTTTTTATTGGTCTCTCTCAATTTTAAAGCAGTCATTTCAATTGTTTCAGTAAAATATAAATTTAAAAATGTTTATATTGTCTTTACCCATCTACAGAGACTGGTAAGATTGGATCAACCATATTCATTTATAAATTAAAAGTTATCACATATTGATTTTTTAACGATGACTTCATTTAACATGTCCACTGAAGAAATAGTTAATAATGCCAATTTAAAAAATTCCCTTGTATATGTTAGGAGAGCTGTCATTGAATAAATTCTAATCGAGATATAGATCTATTACAAAATATTCTAATGATTTTTTGAAGAACTGAAAGATGTTTCCTGATTAAAACCTTTTAAATGAATTCAAACAAGCCACAGTGATGCCAATTTATAAATTTTCTGTGCATAAGAATGACAGTTAAAATTCGGCATGAAAGTTTAAAAGTAAAAAAAAACAGTTTAGTTAAATGGGTCAAATCGTTCACATTTTATTTATTTGGCTATGGTTTCAATATGATGACATAGGAGAGGAAATCTCCAATTTTCAGTGCATGGATTGATGAGCTATTCCCTAGGGAAAGTACTACAAAAAGAAAGCAAGAGATATAATAGCACAAATTAGCACACTGATAAGTTTCTTGCTAAAGCTATATGAATGATACAGTGTAACTGATACAGTTACCTTTCCCTGGGAATTTTGTGCATGTCACTTACTGACCGTAGCGTAAACAAAGTCATGACACTGAACCAAAATCATAAAAATGAACAGCTGAATTTCAGTTATTTTTTTCAGATGGCAAGATGGACAGTACCTAAAATATGATAATGTATATGCTATGATGAATTCTGGTAGGATTTGTAAAAGAAAAGAATTATCAAGCATCCGTTACCAATGAAAACAGTTGATACAATAAGTCTAGCTTGTCTCTCGAAAATATAAAATAAAAATAATAGTTTGGTGTGTCGTTTTTGGTTGTCGTAAAAGATAGGTCTATAATACTGTATCCGGAGTCCGGTAGCACGGGTTGTTAGTGTCGGCCCACTTAATTTTCGTCCTTTATATCTTAAATTCTGGATTCCAATATCTAGGTTGAGAAAAATACAGCCTTGAACTTTGTACATCAACGCTATCCATGTGAATTTAGGCTATAAATATATTATATTAGCAATCTCGTTGTGTCAGAAAATTTTAATTTGTTCTGACCACGATAAATTATCTCATTAGTTAACATGTTCTGCCTCTAATTAAGCTAATAAAATAAAAAAAAAACGGTCTCCAATATTCGTCCTCCCATCCATCCAACCATCTATATCTATCTTCCGTTAATGTCAAACCCCTCGCGCCTCGCGGGAACGTAGACATTTCTGTGCGTCAAAAATCCAATGTTAAAAACAGGGGCTTGGAAACTAGGGTGAGGCATGTTCGATGCAAGCTATATATGGCTGCACTGAATGCGAGTCACTCATTGTGAGTACGAAATTGATAAAATGAAAAATATTTATCAAAATGATGAAATTGAATTAAAAAAAGATAGAAATGAAATATATACACACTTTGTACACTCGAAACAGAAACAAACAAAAAAACATTTTATGAAAACTACAAAATAAGTTTTGTCCGAGATTCGAACTTGCAATTTTATGGTTACAATTCCGTCGTTCTTATCACAAGGCCCCCGAGCAGTATTAATTGATTAAAATACTGAGATCTCAGTCACTATCATTAAAATCCTACAAATTGCAGAAACTAACGAATAACCTCCAGCACAGGTCAATATAAACAAACAATACAATTAATGTTCATAATGAGGCAAAATCGGGAAACGCTGAAATAGTGTACGTACATGTACCTGCCACTTCTTGATCATCAGTCTCCGTTAATCTAAAAGCAGCTTATGGTGTTGTTGTTGGTAGTAGTTTTCACTCCAAATGACGCCAGTAAGCCACATTGAATTTAATAGAGCTCAATTCAACCACTAATGTACCAGTTGCATCGTCCCTTGCCAGACAGTCAACCAGTTAACCTGTACGCCTTCCCTTTCGCAAGGAACAGATAACTTTTGTACAAGTCATGCCAGGGCAGGGGTACAGTGCGAATGAACATAGAAAGGATTACATGATGAATCACAACCAAAGTGACCACCCGATTCACAGCCCAACGCTCTTTCTATTGAAATAACCGGACGGTACATAAAACAGCTAAACAACAATGTATATAGTAGATATAGATACTTTGCTAGATGCGATTTCAAACATTGTTTTGTTGGGTACAGTTTCAGTGACCATTACAATAGGTCTACCACGATAATGTAAAGTTTTTCATGACAGATACAATGTACGTATATTCATGTTCCTAATAACTTTTCCTCAGTGGTCATTTAGTGCCAAATTAATTTAACTTATTTCATAGTAAATGCTTTTTACATAACACCTTACACCCATACCCCTCCCCAACCCCTCACTCAATTTATAGATGTTGAGTGGACCGAACTATTGAAAATGGAATCGTTTTTTTTGGAAAATTGATTTTTCGCACATACAATAACAAGATGAAATACATGCATGTATTTAGGTTTTAAGTTCTTGTCAATAGATCTATCTTAAGCTAACACACAATATAAACATTTAAACAAACAAACAAACATCAAAATCTAAGATAAACATATTAGACAATCATTTGTCTAAAAATGTTAATGATAAGCGTGGATAACAAAAGGGCTCTGTAATGTACAGAAACACTTTTACATTAAAGTATTCAAAGAGTACATTCGATCTATCCTCAAGCGTTTGTACACATGCATCAAATATGTGGCTAACTGCATGGTCGGCGATTTTTTACATGCTAGCTTGTAACTCAATATATTTTCATAGCGCTGAAAAGTGGCGTAGAGGTAACAAAAATAAGAAAAATTATTTGATTAAAGCAATAAATATATAAGAAAGGTTATAAACTCCGAAATTTCGCTACTTGCGCAGCTGAAACCTCAGTCTGTGTGCGACTGTAAACTCTACGAATGTCTAGATAAGTAATTGAGAATTTTGTTCGATGATATGTTCTATAGCACGTGGCAGTTTGTGATCTGCGGGAAGAAAACCAATACAAAAGTCGGTCCTCCAGTACTTTTTAAAGATTTCATTATTTTTAATGGGATGAAGTGCAGAAACTGTGCATTCAAGTGAAAATACTTAAAATGTTTTTTTTTTGGCAAAAATCATAAAGTTAAACCGCGTGTTTGACGATCAGATATTTATGCTGTTTCACTTTACGACAGAAACAGTTGACTTTTTTTCCGGAAAAAAAAGAAGATAAATTATGCACATATTTAATGGTTACTCACATAGCGGACCAATGTAAATAGTTGTTAAGCTGCTTTTAAATTGACGGACAATGGCGTTAGAAAACAGGTATGAAATAAATGGCGATAATTTAATACATGTAATCATTTCTGAATCTAAATAACAAAGTTAATTATGAAAACACCTGACAGAAAAAAATTGTTACAATTATTAGTTCCAACAGAGCGTGCTTCATATGTAGCGTGGCCATACAATATCATCGTGCCACGCAATACCTTGTGCGTCGTCACGTGTTGCCTATCACGTGTGTTTGTACTACATGTAGTTATCACGTGGACACGTAATACTACCTTGTGCACATGAAGGGAACAAACACTTCCAATGCCTTCTTCGTCCCAACGTTGAGTTAAAATGTGCAGAAGTGATTTACTAGACCGCTTTTAACAAAAGAGCCGGTAGGTAAATATAAATACGAATCTTTGTTTAAGATTGTCATTTGGAGCTCAGATGTTCTGTGGTCTAAAAAGCAAGGCCTGCTTCAAGAATAACCAAAATATGGAGATTTTGGAGACGTCACGTGCACTTTAAGTCGCTGATATATAAGCAGTATTGCACGGTTAGTATGAAGTGTCACACAAGAAAGAATACGTCATTTCGCTTTAATGCGTAAACACAGATAATATTTTCATAAAGTAATAGGTCGAAAATATGTTTCAAGAAATTCTATATTTTAATGAACGCTTTTATTTCTTTTGAAACTTATCTTCAAGTAGAATAAAAGTCTCGTAATGAGGGTTCTATTGATATAATAATTGACAGAATAGCATTACGAAAAAGATTAATTTTTAACAAAAATGGGGGAGGGTAATTTTTATTGAGATCAAATTAAAATTTTTAATGTGCTATGACACCGTACATGCAATAAAAACCTATATTTTGTGAAGGGGTAAAAAAGAAAATCTGGTTAACGCATGTATATAACTAAGCTATAACTTATACGAACATTATTAGTAATAAGAGAGGAAAATAACTTGGATGAACATATACTTCATCAACATGGTCAGAGCTATCTTATAGATGACTGTCTGAAAAGTATAGTTTATTATCTTTTGGACGTTTCAGTTTTATGTGCTCCAGTCGACCTATGAATGTAACATTTTCAAACATTATGTTTTTAGAATTTTGGACCACAGTCGAGCTCCTTTAACAAGGTGCTCGGAGTGAAATGATAAACGTGGATTTACTGTGATTTACTTTGAAGAATTATTTATATAAAGTATTGCAATTCAATACCCAAGTGTATTGAATTTGACCACTACGATATTTACACAAAATCCACAGTATAAACAGTGTACGTATAACAATGCATAACTTTCCATTTATCCAAATTAAAGCTAATAAATTGTACAACATAAATAATCAGATTCATTTACTACTTTGGTGTGTTAATGTATGATTTCTAAATGTGCTTTGATGCGTGAACTCGTTGGTATTTGTTACTATATTGATTTAAGTATAATTCCATTTTATACTAAAAGTACAAGTCCATTATAACTGAAGTATTACTTAATCATATGCCAACATTGTAATTATAACCTCGACTGAAACTATCACCTCTATGTATATGGAAAGACAAATGGGGACGATAATTAAAATACAGAATATCTCGAAAACTCAAAAGAGTCTCGGACTTTTTGTGATCGTTTCTACAGTGTGTTTCTTGGTGTATTTTAATGAATATAGAGTATCCGAAATAGAATTGAAACCGTGCAAATTGATGACGCTTAACCCATGGGACGAGTCTCTCAAACCCTTTATGAAGAATGAGCCACCAATTATTTGTTCAAATCGAGAACAACTAATGTTTGTTGACAAAGGATTTCTACGATTTAATGAGACGGTGATGGAAAAATATCAAATAGACACAAGATTTGTGAAATGTTTTTACAGTAACTTAAAAAGAAATGGTGGAGATAAAGATGTTATATTCGAAGACGAGGTTAAATTTGTGGCTCCGATTTTCATTAAAAGTCATGTGTTTCGTGTGCGCTGTGTTGATGTGAATGATAATGAGTTTTATGATTATTTACACTTTAATCCTGTCTGGAACAATGATGCTAAAATGGCAGACGATGTTGAAAATGAGAGCGAAAGTAAGCTCAGTGTGATCATAGTTGGAATCGATTCTGTTTCACGTTCGCATGCTATTCGTAATCTACCAAAGTCTTATAGGTTTTTGTTAGAAGAATTCCATGCATACGATTTTGAGGGTTACAGCAAAGTTGGTGAAAATACAGGTCCAAATATATTTCCTTTATTAACTGGTCAGTCAAATAGAAATTTCCCGTTTGTGCTTCATTTGCGAAAACATGCAGATGCTCTACCCCTTCTATGGAACGAAAAAGTTGTAAAGAATAATTTCGCGACATTCTTTGCTGAAGACGGAAACGACATTGCAGTTTTTTCAGGGACTGGAAAAAGCGGATTTAAGGATCAACCAACGGACTTCTATTTTCGTCCCTTCGGTCTGGGTACGCGTAAATTTGAGCCAATGATAATTGATTTACTAGGAAAAGCCTCTGAATTTTGCTATGGTACAGATAACTATTTAGAATTAGAAATAGAATATATGAAAGGTTTTTTAATGAGGTATCAAAGTAAACGAAAGTATGCATTCATATGGAATAATCAAGCCAGTCACGAGTCTTTCACAACATTACAACATGAGGATAACCGATTATTAGAGTTTCTTAAATGGATGCAATACACAAACCAAACAAAGAATGCCATATTGATACTTTTAAGTGATCATGGATACCGTACTGGTGGTTCTTCGCTTACACACATTGGCAGGGCCGAAAATAACAAACCATGGCTAATGGTACACGTACCTGAATATTTGAAAAGAAAATATAGTTGGATACATGAAACAATGTTACAAAACACTAAACGACTTCTCTCTATTTATGATATATATCAAACCACATTCGACTTAGTTCATGATGTTGCCTTCACCAAACAAAAGAACGCAAGCATGATCGGTAATATTATTAGAAGGAATATTTTCTATGAGATACCTCGTGAAAGAACATGTCTTGACGCCGGTATTGAAAAAAGGTATTGCATGTGCGATGATAAAATGCCTGTGTCCACCGACAATGGATTTATTTATTCTTTAGCCAAGTTTCTTGTCAACGAAATAAATAATATTTTATCAAAATATCAAAGTGAATGTAATATTCTCTCTCTTCACAATGTAACAGAAGCTTCAGTTACGTACTCAATGAGTGACAAGGACACCTTTGGTCGAATACCAAATGCTCCTAAAGGAATACTTAATAAATTACTATCAAATTTTAAAACAAAACAAGACCAGACTGGTCGTTATTTCATTTTGTTTCATACGAATCATGGAAACGCTTTATTTGAAGGAACTGTAGACTATGCGGAATTTGGCCCGAAAGGGATCAAGAACGAAATGACGATGATTGAAGAACCATTCCGATTAGATAGATATGGTAACCAATCATATTGTGTAGAAGATTCCTTTTTGAAACCTTTTTGTTATTGTAAGAACTTCAAACAGCACTTATGACTGTTAAGTTATTAATAAATTAAATGTCCAAAAATGCATTGTTATAGTTTTATTTTTAAAATTGTTGTGTGAAAATATTTCTAAAGAACTTAAAAAAGTTAAATAAATCACAGGCGTTCGGCTCATTTATTTTGCCAATAATGGCCAAATTATAGAATACTAGTAATCTCCCTTTGGTCATCAAGAACTATAGATAGTAATTTTGTTCCTGATGATCAAGGGGTAACTATTTTATTGTAATTTCTCCATTATTGGCAAGACAAGAACGCCTGTTCGATTAAGTAGATGCATAAAGACATGCATTTAATTAAGTAACACGGAAGCACCTGATCAGAACCACCGAACTTCCGTAAAGTTGCTGATATATATCATGGAGTTGAATAGACTTTATCTGTGTATATATGCACCTAGCTGGTTAGGGATGAAGATCCTTTTATCGCTTGAACCTTGCCAACATAGCCTATAAGCTGAATGTCTTTACCACATTATTATATTACTTATCGTCACTGATGGCAGTGAACACGTAGGTTTGATGTGCAAGTGATTTGAAGTCAATGACCAAAGGAACCTCATACCCCCAAACTCCCTTAAGCGAGTTTAATTACAATAACACGTTTCGTCGCTTCTGACGGTATCGAGTTTCAACATGTCATAGATTTGTTTCAAGTCGATTACTTGACCCGTAACCGAAACCAATACATGATCATTATATTTGATTTGCTGTCAACTAGATTACCTCTTTTGAGGTAATTGCTTTTATTGGCGGTTCGGTGTTTCACACAAAACAAAATTGAAAAGTAATTACTTTCAAAACAGTCATTGCAAAATATCTACTAGTATTTACTGTCCTGATCAAATATAAAATAAAAATAAATATGTAAGAACTTAATCCGCAATTTCAATCGCCATTCTTATTCTTATTTGTTTGAAGTGTCTTTAGCAAATGCGACAGACATTCTAGGTCTACATCATTTACATAATACAGCTATCAATGGCTAATGTTAATGATATCCTTCATACGAATTCATACATTTTGTGGTTTTACTCCCAAACAGTTGACAGTTTCTTTACTAGAATTCAAAACTGTTGTTTTTGCTGCCGTTGCTACTGTTGATGTTGTCGTGTTGTATTATTACATGTGTATTATTTTACGAATTATTAAACCGTGATTTGCAAATAACCCAAATACGAGGCTGACACATATGGAAAGACATGGCTGTCTTATATTTTTCTTTTTTCAGTTGAATAATTATTTCGACAATATATGACTTGAAAACACCTTCCTATTAAACCGAAAACCATTATGTAAATCCACAAACCATACCGCTAGTGTATGAAACCAAGGTAGCATTATATAAGTTGACTTTATCAAAATATGATACCAATTCTTTAATATGTGGTAACAAAGTAGCCACATATTGAACCAAATATCTTTGTATGAATCCAAATTATTAATATATATATATCAGATGTCCTTATATGAAACCGAATATAGTTATTCATTTTTACAATATATATGAAACCATTCTATAAATGTATGGAACCGAAGTAGCAGTATATTAGCCAAATATATAATATATGGCTTTCAATACACACGCTTTTCTTATGATTTCAAAGGGTCGGCATTTTTTCTGTTAAAAGCAGCATTCTGACATGCCCTTAGTTAATTGCATGATATATTACTATAGGTGCATAGTGCTTTATGTTGTCCGTGAGCAAAACACTTCAAACTGTTGCACGTCACGGATAATTAGTCAGTGGCACTATAGTACACTTTTGCTTATTCTTACATAGACTGCATACTATGAAATCCTGTACGGAAGCACTGGACTGCAATTCAGACACGTGACTGATGACTTTTAATTTATAATTTCTGAATTGTGACTTTTGACCTGTGACTTTTAATTTTGAAGTGATTTTTACACTTCTGCAAGAGGAAAAGATGGCTGGCAACATACTGTTGCAATGTTACAAAAAAAGCTTTTCATGGGTTGTTCTAATTTCAACGCATATACTGTTAATACATTACATGTAAATGCAATCTCATATAAAGCATCAGAGTAGTGAACAAAATATCGAATGTATGATGACGAACAGACAAGCACACGCCGACCAAAACTAGAAAGTACGAACAAGAAAATTATATGATGTCGCGTTCTGGACATTTTGTTTCCGTCGCCATACTTTCGGGCGTTTTTTTTTTCGGATTCCTTCATTCAAAAGTCTACTTCTTAACATCTAAAAGTAACCCTTCAGCTTATTGCGTAAAATTGTTGCCTGCTTGATATATCGGCTGCTTAACCTTTTCATTTTATCAAATTTTCTATGATAAAATACACGGGGAAATTTTACATTTACCTTACCAGTGTGACATAACTATGTGTTCACTATGTATGACGCTGTATATGTCGTTTATCTCCCCTGAACTGAACTGAACATCGGCTCTTCTCATGCGAAATAGCTGTTCGACGTCACTAATGATAACAATACGATACGATAACAATACGATACAGACACGACACGATATGATACATTACGATACGATACGATACATTACGATACGATACAGTTTAATCAATTACAATACGACACGATGCGATACGACTCGACACGGTACGATAAGATGCGATAGATACGATATTTCTTTATTTCGTCAAAAACAGCAGACAATGTTAGATAACATTTTGTTCTATACCTGTATAATCTATTTCCATGCAGGGATCATTATAAACAAGAAGTATCTTTGAAAAAGTACTCGGCCATAGTTAAACTACTTTTACTTGTGTATGTTATTTTGGTGTTGTGTAAACATGATGAAATGATACATGTAGCAGTGTTTGCTTAAAAAAATTTAAAAAAACGACAGTTATTCTTTGTACAAATTCTTAGTTGCTGGAGGACTATTTTAAACACGGAAAATAAATTAAAAAAAACAACATAAAATTAATAAATCTTCAACGTAGAACTCACTTCCTGTTTTACAGTATTTTTTGTACATGTGCTTATTACTTTTTACATTTATTTTTACAAAGGACGCCCCTGTTTATAAATAATTCTATGCAGCTTATTTATAATATCTACTGGTAATGATCGAATAGGCGATCATAAACTAAACATATTTTTTCGCTTAATTCATTTTGCTCTCATGTATATCGCCTAGATTTTATGAATGTCATTTTAGATGAAAGCAGAATTAAATAAGCATAACAAAATACTCATAATTCTATTGACATAGCATTCAATGGTTAGATCTAAGAAGCACATAAATGAGTCGCGTCACGACAAAACCAACATTTTTGCGTTTGCGACCAGCATGGATCCAGACCAGCCTGCGCATCCGCGCAGTCTGATCAGAATTCATGCTGTTCGCTAACAAACCCTTTAACAAGTAGAGGAACTGATAGCGTACAGCATGGATCCTGATCAGACTGCGCGGATTCGCAGGCTGGTCTGGATCCATGCTGGTCGCAAACCCATTATGTTGGTTTTGTCGTGACGCGGCTCATATATGCTACATTGATATTCAAAATGTAAGGAAATTATGGCATTCATATTCAAGGAACAAATCAATAATCATAAAGAATTAAGAATTTTTTTTTCTCAAAAATGGGGATGAAAATAGCATTTAAAGCCTAAAGGTGTCACCTTCCCACTTAGTTTTTATCACGCTACATGGTCGTCTATGGATATAGATCTATACACAATTCAATTATTATCATTTAAAATTCATTATTATGAGAAAACAACAGCGACAAAAACAACAAAGCAATCACACAAACTATAAAAAAATGAGAGGACAAAAAGAACCTACTAACAAGAAGTTGATATAGCATACATGAAACAGTATATATATACATAGGAGACCTAGATGATTTTTCTTGTGAATGTATTTTATTTCATTTTATTATAATATTAGAACATTTTGATATGGGTGAGTGATATAAATGTTTCAATCGTTTGTATAATTTATAAGCCATCTAGACCTATAAGAACTATGGCTTAAAATCTGCAAAATGATATAATTTATAGTACATTCATCTCCATGACAACTCTTTTCTATATATAGAGTCCTTATAAAGTGATCACAGCGATAGAAATTAAAGATATTTAAATAGTTTTTCAATCCTTTTGAAACTCGATTTTTATGTTGAATAAACATATCGGGCTTTTATACGGGGATTAGCTGACCGATTTTACAAACAAAACGAGTTTTACAAGCTACTACATGTATATAAGTGTGTACATCTAAGTGGTACCCTTGAACAACTGGCACATACTTTGCGAAAGTTTCTTTTTTGGTTCAGTATATGTTATTTATCACATACCCGCGGCGCTTTTGCGACTCTATAGAAATGGAATAACACGGCTGTGAATGTTACTTTGCACTTTAAACAGATTTTATTTTGGGTATTGATAAATAGAATATCATATTGGGCCAGAGGTTGGCATAATATAATTTTATTTAGCTCGTTCATTAAAATTCAAATTAAACTTACACTTATTTAATATCCACTATTTGCGCTACAATTCACACGAGGGATTTTACATCTGGGATATTTGAGCTTTACAACAGAACACAGAACAGATCGATCTCTTTATTTCTTTCCCAGGGTACATGGAAATACAACATGGGGATATACTATAAACAGATACAATATGATAAACAAGCTTCCGATAGTACAAGATGATGTGCCTTGTAACGTTTTGAGTAAAATCTGCTTCAAACATGAAAAATAATACTGGACAATAATTTAACTATTATGAAGTAAGGATTTAAGTAAGTTCTTTCCCTCCTAGCACCTCCTTTATGAAATCTACCAACAATGAAGTTGAAAGATGGTACATGTATCTCTTTATATCTTTTTGAGTTATGGTCCTTGCAAATTAAGCATGGACAATGACAAAGGGCAATAACTCCAAAATTATGAAATGAAGAGTTGTCATTCCAGATAGTCAGATGTTGTCCTTCATCTGTATTATATTCTCCAATGGAGTTTTTATATATCTTCCAGTGGACTTT